GGCCAGTCTCAAAACTCATTCCCAATTTCTTATCCTTGCTTATCCACACCTCCTTCCCATCAAGTGGTCTTCAATGGCTATTTTCTCTATTTCAAATCTATCTCACTTTCTGTCTGGTCCTCACTACTGACATCACTAAAGCCATACTCTCAGCCCTCATCCCACCCCTTCCAATCCACTACAGTGGTCATCTTATATAGCTCATGCCACTATCTCTTTCCGCCTCTAAGCCATGCTCATATCTTTGCCCATTATCTTTTTAAAAGATGGATCTAATCATCATCCTCCTATTAATCCAAATCTTAGCAAGGCAATAAGCCTACGCTCTAGACCAGCACTATCCAATATGGTAGCCACTCTGTGTCCACAGTACTTGGCACATAAATCCTCACTCACTTATTCTTCTCTCCTTCCCTTAAGACTTACCCTTACTGAAAGGTTAAGAGGGAAGAAACTATAAATGCTCATTTCATAACTTGATATAAAAGCATAATGACAAAAAACTAACAACAGAACTACCACACGATCCAGCAGTTCTACTCCTGAGTATATATCTGAAGAAAACGAAAATAGTAATTCAAAAAGATACATGTACTCCAATGTTCACAGCAGCATTATTTAAAATAATCAAGATATGGAAGCAACCTAAGTGTGCATCAATAGATGAAAGGACAGAAGATGTGATACACACACACACAAATATTATTCAGCCATAAAAGAATGAAATTCTGCCATTTGCAACAACATGACGGACCTAGAAGGTATCATGCTTAGTTAAATAAGTCAGACAGAGACAGACAAATACTGTATGTTATCACTTATATGTGGAATCTAAAAGAAAACAAAACAAATGAATGTATATAATAAAACGGAAACAGACTCCCAGAGATTGAGAACAAACTGGTGGTTACCAGTGGGGAGAGGGGAGGGGAAGGGGCAGGATAGAACTAGGGGATTGAGAGACACAAACTACTATGTATAAAATATAGAATACACTGTACAGACAAGGAATAAGCCAACATTTTATAATAACTTTAAATGAAGCATAATCTATAAAAATACTGAATCACCATGTTGTACACCTGAAACTAATATAACATTGTAAATCAACAACCTATCAATAAAAAAAGCATAATGGGAAATGCAATTGTATGATCCTTCCTTTCAGGTACTGACTTGACGGCTCTCTGAGAATAGACTTTGCCTCCCTCTGCTCACCCACCCTTCCAAGATCAGACTCAGTTCTTGTCTTTTAGAACCACAGGGAGAGAGTCTGGCAAGAGCCACTGTTGTACCAGCTGATTTAAATTGAAATGTTTTCCCCAGATAAATGCGTGCTAAATAATACACCAGCTCTCCGGCCAAAGGGAAGTGACAGGCGCTCTGTAAATAAAGGCACTTAGTTGCTGGTAAAGAGCTGTAAAGTGGTTCTGAGCTGATGTTTGCTGACCAGCAAGAAGCGACTTCACCTGCTTTATGTAATTGTCACTGCAGTCTTGCCTGCTGTATATTAAAACTGCATCTCATAGACCCACTGTCACATCGGATATACCGTCCAGCATGGGGTATGCCACCTTTCTCTGTAATTCTTTTTGACAACCAGCCATCACATCTTAGATCTTTTCAGAAAGTATCTAGTTCAGAATCCCTAGGCTGGGCCAGTCCTGACACCACGTGGGCTGGAACAGTGACACCAAAAGGGAATGTGAAAAGAGGTTTTGTTAGTCTGGGAGACCAAATAACACGCAGTGGCAAGTGTCCGAACACAAATCCCAGTGAAGCCTCTATCTCCTCAATGTTAAGATACATTTTCATGTTTCATTTCATGTTAGAACAACTTTCTCTAAGGTTGCATGAATACTCTGACCCAAGAGCACACACATCTGTCCTGGGTCCATATATCCGTGCTGTGTTCTGGAGAGATGGTGATGTAGCTCTCAAGACAAAACAAAGGAATGGGTTTCATAAAGACTACAGAACAAAAAGTGATGAAAGGCGAGGTGGCAGTGGCTAGAAATCTCTGCATTTATCACTCATGGGGAAGTTAGCTTTGTTCCCAAAAATGAAAAGAGCAACACAAAATCCATTTTGGACTCCGTAATTCCCATCCACTTGGAGCTTGGCTGTGCCAAATGGCCAGAGGAAGGGTAACCAAAATATTTGAGGCCAGTGGGCATTCCAGTTGGTCACAAGGGTCTCGAGGAAGGGGAGCAGCCTGGAAACTCGGCTTATCCCTCTGGCCCCACAGGCTGGGATGAACCTGAGAAGTCGGCTGGACGGTGAGCACCCAGAGGTGAGCTTACAATGCTCACCCATCGGGGAGGAAGGGACTTTCCATGTTAATGGTCACCACTGGACCACTGCTTTTTGGAAGGTCAGAGTGTCACCAGACAGAGGGGTTGTATTAGAAACTGAGGACAAGAGAGGAGCAGACAGAGCAAGAAAACAAGGGGAAATAAGGGCTCAGTGGGTCTACAGCTTCGATGGTCTCTCATTGAGAGCCAAACAGAATGCTTGCTGGCTATGGCGGGGGGTGGGGGGTGGGGGGGAATGCTCCATTCCAGTGCTGAACAGGAGTCTCTGAAAACCACCACTGGCCTTACAGTGCATCCTCTGCCTCTTCTGGGTGTGTGTGTGCGCGCACAAAAGAAGCCCTTTTAAATGCAGGAGAAACAAGCTCCCTTTTCCCTTCTTCCTTCTCTCCCACTAAAACCTACTTGTCTTGCTTATTCCTGTGTTAAAAACAGTAAAGAAGGCTTTTGCGAACTGAGTATCTGAAGAGGGAAGGGGAAGCATTTTTACCAGTTTGGCCATCAAACAGGATCTGAGAGGCTGGGATAAGGTTTATGAGAGCTGGAAGGAACACGTATGTCAGATGCATGTGTAACTAAATTAGACACTGAGACTCTAATCTAGGACCTTGAAAATCGGGATGATTAAACTGGGAGGAAACAGGCACGCTGGGGAGAGGGAGTGTCTCCCTGCCCCACTCGGTTCCATCTCCCCTGAAGGGAGCACTTCTGCTGCTTCCCTGTCTTTCCATTCCCTCTGCTAGTTCCTGCCCAGGGAAGGGGAGTGTGTTGGTCCAGCTGGTTCTCTGGACCCGGTTTTGCGAGCATGAGGATTTATCGTGCCTTAAAGCAGTGCGCACGAGTCACCCGGCAACTCTGTTAGAATGCAGACACTAACCCGAGCCGGTAGGTCATGAGATTCTGCATTGCTAACAAGGTGCCTGGGTGATGCCCATGTTGGGGTGCGGCTGGGGAGACCACAGTGAAGATCAACTACTTAAAGGCAGGAACCAACTGCTAGCTTGCCTCTTCCATCTCCTAGAAGGCCAGAGAACTGTTTCCTCCCACCCTTTGTCACCTCAGCTCCTTGAGCAGGCTGGGCGGGGGGCAGGGAAGAGTTTCGGCTCTCTCTTAGGGCCTCGACATGACACGTTGCTCTGTCCTGCAGGCACAGCTGAGCAAATGGATCCCAAGATTTAGATGTGGGGGAGAGGCAGAGGAGTGGGGAGTTGAGAGGTCAAAACCAAGCTTCAGGCTGTATCAGCTACGGTTAGGTCAAGAATAGAAGCCACTCTATTAAGCCAAGTATGATGAAAATTAGAGGTTGACACAGCCCTGGGAAGGGCTGGGGGAGCAAAAGTCAAAGAGGCCACCATTAGCCATTTTACCTGCAACACTAAGGGGCAGGGTCTCCTGAACTTCACCAGAAGGGGCTGTGTGTCTCAAGACCCTCGGGGGAGCCCGCACCCCCATCTCCATCTCCAGGGGCAAAGCTACTGGTTCTCAGCAGGTTCCCCTGAGAGCTGTTTTGACCCTTGCACCTGCGCTCAGGGTCTGAGCTGCCTCCCAAGAATCAAGGTTCTCTTCTTCTTTCCAGATCTCACCCCAGTACCCCTCTCTCATCATTGGCAGACGCCTGCCCAGAACCAGGCAGGGAAGGGGATTCTAGGAACTACTGTTCCTGGTTTTGCTGCAATGTCGAGGGGACATTGGAAGGATGGGGTGGTGATGCTGAGTTGACAAATGATAACGGAGCCCTTGGGTCTAGGCTGCACGACCGATCGATTGAGTGGAGCTTCATTGTATCAATGCGATGGTGCATATCAGCCCAGAAGCTACAGCTCTCACGGGCTGTGCTCCCTCTGCCTTCGCTCCTGAGACGACGGTATTCAGGGCTCCACCAGGCACCCAACACCACCCATGACAATGATCCGACAGTTCACGGTGGGCCTACACAGACGCATTACTTGGAGGAAGATGGCTCCCATCCTGTCCTTGCCAAGGCCCAGATGAGCGAGGTCATTTGTTACAGGCGTTTTGCGGTAACGCCTCTCTGAGAGCCGAGACAGCATCTTTACTCCCTGAGACACCTAGATGACATCTTTACTTGTAGCCATCTGCCCAGCATCCCAGAGCAAATGACAGGGAAGATTGGGACAGAGCATTGTGTCATCTAATGCTGCCGCGCCTCCTATAGACAATGCGTGGGCTGACAAGTGTCAGCTCTCGCTAAATGACTTTTACCGTCCAAACAGTGCCCACCCTCCAGAGACCACCATCCCTTGGTCAGCCTACAACACCCCTGCGCAGCTGAAACAATGGCAAAGCTCAAAACAGGTCAATGGCAAAAATACATACTGGGGAGGAACACTGGAAATCATTCAGACAGCACCATTTCAGGGCTCTGACACTTAGCTGGCAACCCTGGTGACAAAGCCACTGTTTGGGAAGGCTGAGAGGGTGGCGTTTTAAAGGTTGGGTGATTCTCAGGGAAGGAATTGTGAGCATGGGTGTTCAGGTCTCAAGCCCGCTTCCCAGGCTGGCAAGAAGAGGCGGCAGATGCCTCTTTGAAAGTCATCAGAGCCACCGCAGGTTTCCCTACCAGGCAGGCTGATGTGAGCCCCTTTGAATTACCAAGTGAAGGATATTCCTCTTGCCAGCCCCTGTCCCCCACAGGCACAGCAGAGAAGTATTACAGGCTGTCCTTACCTTGGGAATTAGCCTGCAAGACCCCGATGCTGTCATCAAACTGCATAGATTTGATGTTGAGTGACGCCAAGATGCATTCCTTGTCCTGCAGCGAAGTATCATCAATATTATTCTGATTGGCTGACAGGATAACGCACATGTCACAGAGGTTGATGTTGACGGCCCTTAAATCAGCCCGACTTAATGGCGTACCCTTTGGCATAGAGGAAAGAAAAAAAAAAAGAAGCAGCAAAAATGAGACTGAGGGACGAGAGGGGAAGAGGGGAAAAAAAATAAAAACAAATTAAAGATGGAGCCAGAGCTTTGGGAAATTATTTAACAAGTATCTTTTTTATGCTTTGACATTAAGCTGGCCTAACTACGTTCAAGGGAATAGGAGCTGTGTGCTAATCTAAAGGGTAGTTGGTGCTGATGGCAGCATTTTAGGCTTGCTCTCAATACTCAATCAAGCTATTACTAACTAACGAGGGAGAGGAATAATGCCAGGGTTCTACATCTTCTTCCTGCCTGGAAATTGTCTTGATTTAAGTAACTGTCCTGTGGCAACCTCTGGCTTTCAGAATGTAATGAGGGAGTGGGTTTCAAATGCCTGTTTCTTTAATAGCAGATCACTTTTGGCTTGAGCAAAAAAGACAGCCGCTCCAACTAGAATTTCCAAGGCCACCAAGGGGAAATACGCAGGGAGCATGGTGTGATGAGGTGGGGCTGAAAGCACCGCTCAATTTGGAGGATGTGGGAGAGAGAGAAATTAACACCCATCTTGCAAAGGGGAAATGGAAAGGAGTCAAGCTTCAGGTCATATAATTTCATTGCATATTTTCAGCAAGAAAAAATTTAGGAAATTGCCTAATTGTTCAAGAATATAGGCATGGTTAAACATATGGTCAGATACAGAAACAGTGGAAGTCTATGCAGCAGGTAACGAGGCTGAAAGGGTTCTCTGTGTAGGTATTGCCTTGGAAGGATCTCAGACAGAGGATTAAATGACAACAAACAAACAGAAAAAGCCAAGCTCTAGACAACTTGAAAAGTATGATTTCATTTATGTAAAAAGAAATCCACGAACTAAAACTATATGTTTATGAATGTATTTATAAATGTATGTACATTCCGAGAGAAGGTTCAGGAAAAATACACACTAAACTAATAACAGTAATTACCCCTGGGAAGGGGAGTAAGATTGGGGGTGAAGGAAAAGTTTGTTTTTGACTTTATATGCTTCTGTTTTGTTTGAATATTTTATAACAAGGACGTATTTGTATATTACTGGAGTAATTAAAAATGAGTAAGCTAGTAAACAGACTTAAAAAAAAAATTCCACAATGACCAAAAACAGTGGAAAAAACCCCAGATGAAGGAGGTAATGACAGAGGCTGGGAATGCAGCCACTGGTAGAAAGAAGGGTTAGGGTCGGAGCAGGAGACCTTGAGTCCTTGCGCTCCGTGTCCTCAGAAGGGGCCACGGCAGAACTCATCAGGTCATCCCACATCAGAGGGTCCCAGGGGCATCATTTTGGAGTTCATGGCCAGCCACCAGCCTCTTTGGACCTCCAGCCTAAATCCAGCTTCTGATTTGCCCTCATGGAGACTTGAGTGACTTTCAGTGGCCCTTGAGTGACCTTCAACTACACTGCCTGTGTAGGGAGAGGTGTGTCACCGGCCATGTATCTCTGACTGCCTTCCTCTCAGTCTCCCTCATGGAAATGGGGCTTTGAGAAGATTGGACCTGGCCGCAGAGATCAAGGCCATCAGCCCTCTTCTACAGCTTAGTGGCAGTCCTGGTTCTCACCTCAGCCTCCAAAACACTGCTGCAAAGTAGACTTACGGAGGAATAGGCACATCGTGATATGGACTGGAAAGCTACTAGTTCCAGGCTGTGGAGCAGTATCTTTTGAGAAAAGCAGACATCTCCCCTCTTTTCCTGGGGTCTTTTGATACAAAATAAGTCTGACCAACTTCCTGAATCATTTCCTAAGCCCACTGCTTAAACCTCAACTGTCTACATCCATATTCTCTGAGTTCTCACCTTGTAGGGAACCCAGCAGTCACTGTGATATAAGACAATCCCTGTGCAGCTGTGCACACATGATTTCAAAACTCAAGAAATACAGACAACATACACAGAAACACCCTGTGTTTCTCCAGGCTGGCCCTATCTATGTGGCCCTGTTTAAACAATGAAATTATGTGACGACAGAGGTGAAAGTCCATTTTGTACAAATACGTTGTGCTGGCAGGTGCTAATTTTGGAGGGTTTGAAAAGGCCCTGCAAATAGGAGAAGTTATTCATACAGGTGCAGGCGATGAGTGGATGTGTTCTAGGGCGTGCAGAAGGAAACACACACACCCACCACGCATGCACACATAGCAGCCATCACACATACACACCACACACATACACACATACATAGACTCTTGTATCCCAGAAAAATAACGAGCTCTTTACAAAAGATTTTGAAACTCCAGTTCATTGTTCCCAAGGACCATGTGGAAGAGCCCGTGTAGGAAGATAAATAATCACAGAAATGTACATGTTTCTGAAATTAGCAAGGTGTGTATCTATTCAGGCTCTTCTACGTGTGTGACTATTTGTTTTTCCGCAGGTAAAGATTTTTAACTCCATGTGTTCATTAAGGCAGTGAGTTTTGGGCCCAGCATCCAAAAGTATCTGTCTATATTTTTCTCATTTCTTTATATATTTATCGTCTATTGTGTCAGGTGTATGTTGGGTTACATGGTAGCTACAAGGGGTATTACTTGTGGACAGATTCTTAGGTCTTCTTTATTGAATTATATTACCTTGCTTCTTCTTTTTCCATTTCTGAGGTTCTATAAGCAGATAACAGAAATAATGGATTTCTAGCTCCATAAGTGTGGAAAAAATTAGACTTCTTGAAATATAGAATCAAATTCATGTTCCTCAGTTTTAGGAATGTGAACTTCCAAGAAAAATATTTGGAGGGTAAGTGATACTTGTATGGGTTTGTGACCTGGAGAACCATGTCAAATGTTGAAATGTACAGCGCTCTACAATTATTTGAAAGTTTATAGAAAATATACTGGTTAATGACTAGGAAGTAGTTAGTTACATGACTCACAGATCACGTGCCCCAGGTCCTCACGCTAAACTGTGGAGTCCCAAATGGTTCCTTTTAGATTTGGGTCCTAGTGTTTTGTAATCAAGAACATCACACGCACACATACAACCTCATGAAAACCCTGCTGAGCTTCTAAATGACTGGGAGGTAGGGGCTGGCCACCAGGAGGGGTTGGGCTTTTGTACAGCAGAAATAAATAAAGAACTCTGTTAAATACATTCAGTTAAAAACAGAACATGGTAAAATAAGATTTCTCCAAACATTAATAATGTCATAAATAAAATGGTATAAATAGTTCTATATGTAAATTCTGCCGTAAGCATCATAATATTGCAAAGCACTGGGTTGAGGTAGGCAAGAGAGTGTTTAGACACTGATACGGTTAATACATTTGATACCAGCTAAACTCCATGCCTGATGAGCGACTGAACTTGGCTGCAAATTCCTTTTAATAAGATCTCCCAGGGTTTGGATCTTCCTAGACAGAGCACAGGGGAAGGGCTGAGTCCTCAGGCCCATAACCAGACGAAGAAGCAGAGGCAGGATCAAAGCTACTGCTCTTACATTCATCAGGGATTTTTCTTTCATGAATGAAAAAGAAGAAAAAAGCATCGATTATGTGACCTTGGACTTACAGGCAATATGGACACCTTGGGGAAGTTATGAAGCGTCTCCCATTCCCGCTTGAGGTACTCAATGGAACCCACAAACACGATGTGCTTGAGCTCGTGGTAATGAAAGTTGCTGGCACGGAGTGGCATCACCAGGTTGCGGAGGCCAATCAGGGCTGAACTGACGTCGCCAAAGATGCAGACCACGACGTGGCCACTCAGGACGGTCATGGCAGCTTCACTCCGAGTCTGCCAGAGGGAGAAGGGCACATGCATTGGAGAGAAGACCTCAGGGGGTTGCGGTAAGGACTGAAAAATCATTGTGTCAAATACTGAGGAAACACTGGCCGAGTGCTGGCTCTGGGCTATTATTTTTTAATTTCTTCACTGTTATATACATGTCATATTTATTTATAATTTGAGTATGTGTGTATAAATTATTTTGTGTAATAAATATCTGTAAGCATATATTCACACATATCATTACCTTCTTTGAGAAAATATTTAAGGAAGATGTGTCATCACATACAAGCTGAAGATCTTTCATAATAATTTTCAGGAGGGAAAAATTAGAGGGAACAGCAATATTTATGTCATTTGGAAAAGGAAGTCTTAGTTTCCAGGAAATTGTTGATAACATGAGCTGCCTTTTCTGCCTCCCTTGCTGAGATGATGATAAAATAGTCCGACCTATGCTGGCCTTGGCATGAGAAATGAGTTTTAAATTCTAGACCCACCATCAGGACCTCCCAGGACATCACTGCATCAGTAGGTAGCACTTGATGTCCTGAGCCAGGGGCTGGCAAACTATGGCCCACAGACCAAACCTGGCCCGCCACCTGCTTTTGTATGGCCAGTGAGCTAAGATTGGTTTTTACATTTGAAAATGGTCGGAAAAAGTCAAAAGAAGAATATTTCAGAACATGTGAAAATTAGATGAAATCCAAATTCCAAAAAAAATTGTGTTGCAACACAGCCAATCTTACTCATTTACGTATTCCCCGTGGTTGCTTTTACAAAAGCTGAGGGGATTAGTTGTGACAGAGACTGTACGGCCAGCAAAACCTAAATTATTTATTGTATGACCCTTTACAGAAAGCGTTTGCTGACCGCTGTCCACTGCTGCCCTGAGGTTTCCAGGGACAGGCCCGCAGTGGCCACCTATGTAAGTTGTTGGAGGAAGACTCCAAGGGAAGCACTAAACGGATCTAGAGACAAAACGGAAGAACAACAAACCCATGTCTTCCCCTGACTCTAGGTCTGTATTTACAAAGGGGACAAATGAAAGAATAAAACCACCCCAGTTACAGCTTCCCAGGAAATGCAAATGGGCAGCCACTGCTCACTGTGTCAGCACAGAGAACAACACAGGAGGCCAGTCGTGGGCCTTTCTCTGCCTTTCTTTCTGGTCCGATGCCTCCCAGCTTGCCTTTCTTCCTCCCTGTCCACCCCCTGCGTGTCTGGATGGCCCCATGTGGTTTACAATGCTTTGGGGGAGGCATATTAATGTCCACTGCACATATCAAACCCTGCTCAATTTAATCCCTAGAATTGACCAGTGTATTGATCGTTTAAATGCCAATATTGCAATTCACGACAATGTCAGGGTTATTACAGTAACCCCCAAGGAGAGGAAGAAGCTAGCTTTCACTCCCTGATCGTTAGAATAAAGCAGGGGCTGTCACCATTATTGGCTTCTCTCTGCAACAGTACAGGGACACCTAAGACACAGGCTGTAAAAAATGTCTTATAAATGGTGACCAAGGAGGCCCTGCTGGGGAGTCACACCCCACATCACGGCTTCACGGATAAAACGTAGAGTTAGTTATCTTGGCTGCATGGAAGTGTGAGTGCCTGGGTACCACCAGCAGAGGGTCAACCAGACTGCAACATGCTGTGATGAGACTCCTAATTATTTTTAATTGGCCAGGTCACCTGAGAGGCTAGCTCCCTTCGGCAAGCCTGAGGAATATAACCTGGGTCCAGAATACAGACTGGAAGTCTAGAATAGGAAGGTGGGGAAGGCTCCAGTTAGCAGAGTGGCCAAGGCACAGATGCTGACCTCAGGAGCTTGGATCTGGGGACCAAAACACCAATCCTTAGACCAGCCACAGCAATATCACCTGGAGAACCTAGTAAATGTCCCAGTTCTCGGGACTCAGCCCTGGGGGAGACTGAATCTGCCAGGTTTAAGACCCAAGAGAGAAACTGCTTACGTGTGCACCTTGTCTTTCCTACACATCCTTTAAGGCCTAACCCAAGTAGGGCCTAAATGGCTGTAAAACACTTCCAAACTCAACCTGTTTGTATCTAATACATACCTAAATACATACTAGGTTCCCTGACCACTTAAATACATACTAGATTCAAACAGCACTTTGTGCCTCATAACACTTAGCTTTAAATACATTGTCTCATGGTACATTTATATCTTCTAATTAGATGGTCATTTCCTCAAGATTGCAGCCATCTCATATTTTCTGACCCCCCCAAAGCAGTTAGTGTCCTGTGCCCAGAAAGCATCTTCATGGAGCTAGCTCTTCCAAGCATTCCCATCTCTGTGCCAGGGTTAATTTAGAAGGGGCTTTTGGGACCTCACTGTCTAAATAGCACCTCCTAGTCCATTTCTAGCCCATGACCCCACTTTATTTTCTTCATAGTACTTACCAATAACTGAAATGTTATTACATATTCCTTTGCCTCCCTGGGTACCTTCTCTGTGCCCTCGCAAGACTACAAGCTCTATGAGCAAGTCACTGTCGGGGCTGTACTCCCAGCAGCAAGAAGACTGCCTAACACGTAACAGGATTGCTATGAATGTTTTGTTAACTACGTTACTTTTCAGATCACAGAAGTAGTAACTCGTCTCACTAAACTCTTTCATGCCTGTAGGGGACTTGGAATGTCAGTTACCCACACACTCCTGAGGATTATGTAGGCAAGTCATTAAAACCCTGGATCTCCCAAATACCAAGCCAGCCTTTAACCTGCCCCAGGTGGGTAACACCAGGCTGAGTTTACATCCCCAGAGGAACAAGTGGGGCAGATACAAGATTAGAAGGTAAACACATGACATGGTTTTGTGATAAGAACCACTTGCACTCCATGGACAAGGGCTGTTTCTGAGAATTCTGCCTTTTCTGTGCTTCTGTCTGCACCTTTCACACCTCCCAGACAGCCTCCAGCACATTGCTGTATTGGCTCTTAATGCTCGAGTATAATTAAATTGAGAAAACACACACATTCAGATAAAAGCAGAAGGGAAAATCTAGCGGATTAGAGTATAAAGCCCTTCTGAGGAACTGGAATGGTCCTTTCTTAGGGAGGGCGGCCATGACATCAGAACTGACAGGATTTTCTTGGCTGACATAAAGGAGCAGGCCACAGCCATCTGGGGATTAGAAGGCACAAGGGAGAAAGAACCCTTCCATATGACTTCCTGATTATTAATCCATTTTTCATGGATTAACAAGACATTAAACAGTGGGAAAGCCGATGTAGGCATTAAAACCTAAAGCTGTTAATCGGACAAGTCTAAGGAGTAGAATGGATTGTTATCTATGCTGACATTCCTGGGACAGACCAGAGGAAACTCACTGCTGTTACTGAGATGAGCCAACCATCTGTTACTGAGACTCTGAGCCTCACCCTTCCCGAGGTGGACCACTGTCATCCTTGTTATCATCAGCAAATGTGATCTGCCTGCCTACAACCTGTGCTAAGAAGGATCACAAATGTGCAAGGCATTGTTATAAACAAACAACAATACAGGTAGCATGCAGATTTCTTCATGGTTAACAATAATAGTAGGTAAGTTTATTGAGTCATATGTTGGGTTTTAATCTTCACTACCAACCTATAGGTTAGGGTCATTCTCATCTCATTTTCTTACACATAAAAGAACTGAAGTGCAAAGTGGTCAAGTGACTTGTCCAAGGCCACACAGCTACTAATGGCACAGGCAGGCTCTGGCCCCAGAGCCATGTCCACAGGAGTGATGGTACACACTGCCTCCCATGATGCCTTTCACACAGCACATGATCACCCCCTATGGTAATAAGCCAATGAATATTCAGAGACTGAGAATTCCACTCTCAGTTCATGGTCTAATAAAGAGTTCTAGCTGCTTCAATGTATATCCTGAATACTAATTATCAAAAATAATTAGGACCAGGGGCTACCATCCCACCATCTAGCTAGGAAAACCTCATTCCTGGCAAGCATAATTTGGGACAGAAGTGGATGGTGTCAATTCCGCAATCTGTCACTCACCAGGATGACTTTCTCTATCTCCTTGGGTGCACACCAGTGAAACATCCCAGTAGAGTCATACTTCTTCACATTGGAGTCCATGTTGTCAATCTGATCATTGCCAGGAATTAACAAGGGGTCATGCCTGGGGAGAAAAGGACAGGAAAACCTAAGTGGAAAATGTGATAAATTATACATGGAAAGTGCCCCCTGAGTTATATCTCAGAGGAGATGAAAGATGCAGAGGAAGTGGTTGTCACCGAAGGCCATTCTTTAGCTTGCAGAAGCCAACCTCTGAAAGATAACTGCCCCCAAAACCACCAGGACATGCCGGTGACCTCTGTCAGGTAATAATTCTGCCTTTCTCTTCTGTTCCCCTTTTCCTAAGATGGACTTCACGTCATCGTGTGAATTTAGTCTCCCTTCTTACAGTTGTCTCACTCCTTCTTTTCTCATTTTACCAGCTATACAGTCGCTGCAGGACACATGCACACGTGCACACCCCGAAGGGTAGTTATTAGCATTGGCAATGAAGAGGAAGGAATCGGAACAGAGCCTCATGCTGACTGACTGGCATGAGGATGGAAAGCCAATTACTTGCTCTTTCTGACTACAACTTCTGACGTGATGCTCTTCGCAGTAAAAGCTTTAACAGGCTGCACTTTAAATATTTTAGCAATTTGCCCAATCAGATTTTGCTCTCCCTGGCTGAAGTCCTTTAAAGATTCAGCAGCATGTCACTTCAGAGCAGATTGACTACCAAATGCCCACCTCTGGAATACATGATTTCAATGCTAAACAACACCCTCTCTCCTTGCCTTGACAACTGTATTTGCACGAACTGTCCAATGACGCGCTCCCCCCACCCCCACCGTCACCTCCCAGCTGCCACACTCCTTAGACGAGTGCCTCAAGCTCAGACGTATCTTAATAAACTTGTCTTGAATTCTCAGGGCGACGTGCATCCTCGCTTGCCTTGTTTACTGGTGGAAAAGAAACATGCTTCTATGGAGGCCTCCCCTCCAGTGGACTGGCAGCATCTCACCGACAACTTCAGGAATTACAATAGAACCAGGCAGCTCTAATAAGCTTGCAGCATGAGAAATATAATCCTGCATCCTGGCCCATGCCCCACTGTCTAGATTCCATCTCTCACAGTGACTCTGTAGCTCAGTGTTGAGGGAGGTATTTGGGTTTCTACAACAATGGCCGCATAAAATTAGGATAATGTCCCAGGCGTGGTCAGCTATCTGCTCAGTTGAGCTATTGTCCCTGAATAATACTGTCAATTCAAGACAGAAAATCTAAATTAGTTCAAATTCTGAAACATGACTGTAAAGTGATTTTTACCTCTTAAAGCACCTCTTTCAAGCATTAAAGGATGAGCTTTACTTAGTTCTTAGAATTTCTTCCTCTGAAATGTCTTTGATACTTCTCATTTGTATGTTCCAAACACAGGCAGTGGGACAGCAATCCTTTCTACATGGCCTATAGACCTAGAATTAAGCTTTCAGGATATCTACCCTGGCTTTCCTAATAGGCCTCCCAACCCCACTTAGGATAGGAAGCCTCTGTGTTTACTCACTCCTGAGAATTTTCTTGTAGGCTACACCAGATGACAAATTTCACGTGAGGCAATCCTGCAAAGTCACCGTCACTGAACGTGCTAGATGACTGCAGGAACTGTCACGTCTGAGCTTAAAAGGAGAAGAACAATCAGCTCGGAATAGCATCTCAGTAGCTGGGTTACTGGAAAGTCTGGAGGTGTTGTAAACCACCAGGTCACCTTTCAAACACTGAGCTCAGTCAAAAATGCTAAAATAAAAGGGCAGTTACTGATAAGAACGGGTCACAGATCAGAACAAGAACAATTTTTGAACGTTTTTGTTCTTGAGGAATCTTTAGATAGATAGATCTAGATACATAATCTCTATGCATCATAAAGAATTTTGAGAAAATTAACGAAATAAATTCTTTCTTCCCAACCCTAGAAGAATGTATTTTAGTTGCAAGAGGATCTTAATAAATTTGTCCTGAAGCTGTAAAGCCAGGTTGTGTATTGGTTAGAGTGGAAGTATCATCTCAGGAAGGTCTGAGACCTACCCCCAATGCATTCAGGATTTATATTCATATAATATTAGCAAGCAAGCAAATGCTGTAGCAAGCTGGCCAAAATTCCTTTCAGAAAATATGTGCCTTGAGAGAGAGGAGATACATGTCGACTTCCTATCTTTCTGGGAAGAAATCATACCTTGATTACATTGGCATCCAACCCTTCTGTTAGAAAAGTAAGTAAATAAGCCTGAGGACCGACTGCCCCAATGAGAAGAAAAAGGACAGCTTTTTAATGTCAAGTCTCATTAACTAGGGTGGGGATTTGGGCACACCAGGTGCTATTTGACACTAGGGCTGCAAGCCACGATTTGCACTGGAACATCTAGAAGCATCCGGGAAGTCTCAGTGGTATGCCACGTGGCACTCTGTACTTCCTACAGTCTCTCAGCCTAAAGATAGGTCATCCAGGATTTTCCTAAAAGGGTCAGATCTGAAGACCATCAAAAAGTTCCCTGAACAAAGATATTTCCTTTTCTGACCAGTCATGGTACTTGAAATTTGAACTTTGGTTTCACGAATCAGCAAAGCAACTAATAAACATGAATCCCCTCTTCTGTGCCAGGAATGGAAGATCCTGCAATGATTACGGTGACCAGTCCCTGGTTGAAGAGAGGGTTATAATACAGCGAGCAAGAGAGAAAATGTCAACCCACAGCTGTGATACACTGTGGCAAGAGTTACAGGGAAGTAATACACAAGGTGGTATGAGAACACCAAGAGAGCTGTTAATTGCCTGGTAGTAGAGTAACATCAAAGGAAGGTTTTGCAAAGACGGTAACATGTGATCTGAGCTCTGAAAGGTGAGGAGGAATCGCATTATATTTTATGATCCACGAGTAGCCATTAGGACCCATTTAGAGGACTGAAGTCCAAGAGAAAAGAGCCAAAGAAAGACACCTGGATCCATGGTTGGAGATGTTGTACTACATGAGCTGTCCTCAGATGGGCAATGGCCGTCAAGTGGAAGAGATGGAGTCAACTCATTGAGTATGACTGAAGTAGAGCAGACTAGGGATTTAGACAGTGCCAAACTCAAGTCTCCAAAAAGGAAGAATGCTATACAAATGGAAGGGTTTAAAATAAATGGCATGAGTTGTCTCCGAAGGCAGTGGATTTCTCATCTTTTGAGACATTTCTGAAGAGCTGAGAGGAAGACATCAAACCATACCAGAAATACACAGTATCTTCTTGGAAGAGTTGGGCCACATACATACACACACAATTAGATTTGCTCTGCCTGAAAGGGAACTCCTCCCTGGCCTTGAACTTACCTCCACATTTGAGGATCAGTACCTATGACAGCCCAACCCAAAGAAAAGAAGAAGCCTGCACACTAGAGTAAACTTGTTCTTTGGAACCAAGAGAGTTGATCTCCAAAGGGAGCATTTGGGGTGGATACCACTGAAGACAGAAAACCACCTATTTCTTTAGTGACAAGATAGCATAGTGGCTCAGGACACTGGCTCCAGAACCATAACATCTGTCTTCAAGTCTTGGTACATCTCCTATTTGCTACATTGTGCCTTGCCTCAGTTTCTTCATCTGTAAAATGGGAATGTTAAACCTCATCATTAATTAATGGATTCAGTTTGAGAATGACATGAGTAAAGACATGGCATGTACTTAGCATGAAACCTGACACAGAACACGCCCTCAATAAGTGTTAACTACTATCATTATTATCACACTTTATACTTCGCTTAGAAACCACTCATATATTTGTAGCTCTTACAATGGTGAAAGGAGACAGGAAAGAGGGAGTGGTTCAATCATAAAGACGTGGGGTTCTCCTACTATTACTCCTACTACCACCACCACCACCACTACTAACACTACCACTACTACCATTACCACCACTACTACTACTACCACCACTACCACCATCACCACCACTACTACTATCTCTATCACTACCACTACTACCATTACCACCACCACTACCACTACTACCACCACCACCATTACCACCACCACTACCACCACCACCACCACCACCACTACCACCACTACTACCATTACCACCACCACTACCACTACTACCACCACCATCACC